CGGTTTTACAGATTCTAAACTAAATTGCAAAATATTGTTTTATAGTTTTGATTTTTTTCCAAAAAATTTAGATGTCTCGGGTAAAAACTTAGCACGGAGTCATAGACTACATGTGTAGGACTATGTTATTTTGTACAATTTAAAACCCACGGACTCGATTACAATACTTAAAAACGAAATCAAAGAAATTCAGAAAATAGGCAATCAACAATACATCCAACCAACCGGAAAAAGTAATTATTACCCTAGAAAATTTTGACCCACCCTCCACAGCGGGTGGTTAAGCGGATAAACGCGGTGAACTATAGAGTGGGTTGATAGTGAGATTTTTGTTTCAAGAAACTGAAGATAAGAAAGGCTTTGACTTTAGACACTTCTTTTGAATTTATTCAATTTTACGTAACTCTTTTTTTTAATATGTATACTTCCAACCGGCAGATTGCGACCACATCTGGGATCAAGGATTTCGGGTAACATTGCATATAAATAAAACTGTTCTAAGTGAGATACAATTCTTTCATGTCAAAACTTATCACCTCTTTAATTATACAGTAAAAAAATTGTTTTATTAGGTTCACTGTTAAATATTCGTTAATGTTTGTAATTTTTCTTTGAAAAAAAATGGTTGAAGGCTGTTTCGATAGAACTTCCCTCGTCCTTGAAGTACAATTGTCGGATCCAGCTCTTTAAAAAAAATATAAAATTTGATTTTATGATTTTCGTTTTGAAATAAGTTGTGTAAAGTAAAAACCAGCGGCATAAATAACACCTCCACAGGCCCTGCGCCGTAAGGACAATGTAAAATATATTTAAAGCACTTAACTAACGCGATAAAATATCCTGCAGCACCCGTTTATTATTTTTTTTCTTATGAAATAAAAAATAAATCTTACAGCGACTTGTATAACAAAAAAATGCGATTAGAGCTTTTTTTCCCTTTTCTAGCAGCGTACGTTCTGTTAGTAGCCATTGCCACTCTACAAAAGAACATATAATTAGCCCCGTCCACCTGCCCCGCCTTCATTTCAGAGATTTATTTTATCTAGCCAGAATGTAACATGGATCTCATAGTATGCTAAACAGAAATAAAATCGTTAGAATGAGAACTGCTCGTGTGGGCGGAGTTGGTACTTGGTAAGATAAGACTGATTTTGGCGGATCACATATCTTCTAAGAAAAGAGAGGGTGGGTGGGCGGAGCTAATATTTGTTAAGATAAACTTGATTTTGGTAAATGACTGAGCAATGTTAAGAGTAATCACTGGAATGAAGAGGGGGTAGCTGGGCGGAGCTATTGCTTGCTTATATAAAGGACTCTATAACAAAAGATTAAAGTTAGCCCCACCCACCCACCCGTTTTTTCATTTTTTTCTTATGAAATAAAAAATAAATCTTATTGCGACTTGTATAACAAAAAAAAAATGCGATTAGAGCTTTTTTTTCCCTTTTCTAGCAGCGTACGTTCTGTTAGTTGCGATTGGCACTCTACAAAAGAACATATAATTAGCCCTGCCCACCCGCCCCGCCTTCATTTCAGCGATTTATTTTATCTAGCCAGAATGTAACGTGGATCTCATAATATGCTGAACAGAAATAAAATCGTTAGAATGAGAACTGCTCGTATAGGCGGAGTTAGTACTTGGTAAGATAAGACTGATTTTGGCAGATGACGTGTCTTCCAAAAAAAAAGAGGGTGGGTGGGCGGGGCTAGTATTTGTTAATGTAAGGTTGATTGTGGTAAATGACTGAGCAATGTTAAGAGTAATCACTGGAATGAAGAGGGGGTAGATGGGCGGAACTAAAGCGTGCTTATAAAAGACTCTATAACAAAAAGTTAAACTTAGCCCCACCCACCCACCCGTTTTCCCATTTTTTATCTTCTGAAATCAAAAATAAATCTTAAAGCAAATTGTACAACGAAATAAAATACGTTCAGAGCTTATTTTCTTTTTTTAGTAATGTACGTTCTGTTACTTGCGATTGGCACTCTACAAAAGAAGATATAATTAGCCCCGCCCACCCACCCCGCCTTCATTTCAGCGATTTTTTTATCTAGCCAGAATGTAACATGGATCTCATAATATGCTGAACAGAAATAAAATCATTAGAATGAGAACTGCGCGTGTTGGCGGAGTTAGTAGTTGCTAAGATAAGACTGATTTTGGCAGATGACATATCTTCTAAGAAAAGAGAGGGTGGGTGGGCGGGGCTAATATTTGTTAAGATAAACTTGATTTTGGTAAATGACTGAGCAATGTTAAGAGTAATCACTGGAATGAAGAGGGGGTAGCTGGGCGGAACTATTGCTTGCTTATATAAAGGACTCTGTAACAAAAGATTAAAGTTAGCCCCACCCACCCACCCGTTTTTTCATTTTTTTCTTATGAAATAAAAAATAAATCTTATTGCGACTTGTATAACAAAAAAAAATGCGATTAGAGCTTTTTTCTCCCTTTTCTAGCAGCGTCCGTTCTGTTAGTTGCGATTGGCACTCTACAAAAGAACATATAATTAGCCCCGCCCACCCGCCCCGCCTTCATTTCAGCGATTTATTTTATCTAGCCAGAATGTAACGTGGATCTCATAATATGCTGAACAGAAATAAAATCGTTAGAATGAGAACTGCGCGTGTGGGCGGAGTTAGTACTTGCTAAGATAAGACTGATTTTGGCAGATGACATGTCTTCCAAAAAAAAGAGGGTGGGTGGGCGGGGCTAGTATTTGTTAATGTAAGGTTTATTTTGGTAAATGACTGAGCAATGTTAAGAGTAATCACTGGAATGAAGAGAGGGTGGCTGGGCGGAGCTATTAATTATTTCTAAAAGACTCTATAACAAAAGGTTAAACTTAGCCCCACGCACCCACCCGTTTTCTCATTTTCTGTTAGTTGCCATTGCCACTCTACAAAAGAACATATAACAAACCCCGCCCACCCACCAAGCCTTCATTTCGGTGATCCATTTTATCTAGCCAGAATGAAAAATGGATTTCATAATATGCTAAACAGAAATAAAATTGTTAGAATGAGAACTGCGCGTGTGGGCGGAGTTAGTGGTAAGATAAGACTGATTTTGGCAGATGACACATCTTCTAAGAAAAGAGAGGGTGGGTGGGCGGGGCTAATATTTGTTAAGATAAACTTGATTTTGGTAAATGACAGCAATGTTAAGAGTAATCACTGGAATGAAGAGGGGGTAGCTGGGCGAAGCTATTGCTTGCTTATATAAAAGACTCTATAACAGAAGATTAAAGTTAGCCCCACCCACCCACCCGTTTTTTCATTTTTTTCTTATGAAATAAAAAATAAATCTTATAGCGACTTGTATAACAAAAAAAAAATGAGATTACAACTTTGTTTTCCCTTTTCTAGCAGCGTACGTTCTATTAGTTGCGATTGGCACTCTACAAAAGAACATATAATTAGCCCCGCCCACCCGCCCCACCTTCATTTCAGCGATTTATTTTATCTAGCCAGAATGTAACGTAGATCTCATAATATGTTGAACAGAAATAAAATCGTTAGAATGAGAACAGCGCGGGTGGGCGGAGTTAGTACTTGCTAAGATAAGACTGATTTTGGCAAATGACATCCTCCAGGAAAAGAGAGGGCGGGTGGGCGGGGTTAGTATTTGTTAATGTAAGGTTGATTTTGGTAAATGACTGAGCAATGTTAAGAGTAATCACTGGAATGAAGAGGGGGTAGATGGGCGGAACTAAAGCTTGCTTATACATAAAAGACTCTATAACAAAAAGTTAAACTTAGCCCCACCCACCCACCCGTTTTCCCATTTTTTATCATCTGAAATCAAAAATAAATCTTATAGCAAATAGTACAACAAAATAAAATACGTTCAGAGCTTATTTTTCTTTTTTTAGTAACGTACGTTCTGTTAGTTGCGATTGGCACTCTACAAAAGAACATATAATTAGCCCCGCCCACCCGCCCCACCTTCATTTCAGCGATTTATTTTATCTAGCCAGAATGTAACGTAGATCTCACAATATGTTGAACAGAAATAAAATCGTTAGAATGAGAACAACACGGGTGGGCGGAGTCAGTACTTGCTAAGATAAGAGTGATTTTAGCAAATGACATACCCTCTAAGAAAAGAGAGGGCGGGTGGGCGGTGCTAGCATTAGTTAAGATAAGGTTGATTTTTGGTAAATGACCGAACAATGTTAAGAGTAATCACTGGAATGAAGAGGGCGTGGCTGGGCGGAGTTATTGATTATTTATAAAACGCTCTATAACAAAAGGTAAACTTAGCCTCACCCACCCACCCGTTTTCTTATTTCTTTCTTCTGGAATAAAAAATAAATCTTATACTGAATAGTATAACAAAAAAAAATACGATTAGAGCTATTTTTTTTTTGTATTTTTAGCAGCCTACGTTCTGTTAGTTGCCATTGCCACTCTACAAAAGAACATATAATTAGCCCCGCCTTCGTTTCAGTCATTCATTTTATCTACCCAGAATGAGAAACGGATCTGATAATATACTGAACAGAAATAAAATTGTTGGAATTAGAACAGCGCGGGTGGGCGGAGTTAGTAGTTGCTAAGACAAGACTGAGTTTGGCAGATGACATATCTTCTAAGAAAAGAGAGGGTGGGTGGGTGGGGCTAGTATTTGTTAAGAAAAGGTTGATTTTGGTAAATGACTGAACAATGTTAAGAGTAATCACTGGAATGAAGAGAGGATGGCTGGGCGACTTATAAAAGACTTTATAACGAAAGGATAGACTTATTTATACATCGAAAGAATGTCACGTAGAAATTAGTTTCATTTGGATGAGTTTGTCTTCTCAAAACAGATGAGGACTAAAATTATTAAACAACAATAGAACAAAATATTCTGAATATTATAATTCTGATTTTAACATTATTATATAAATGCACGGAAGAATTTGTCCTAAAATAAAAATTATATAGCAACATTACACATATTACTGTATAAAAGATTATTATTAATACTCAGTAAAATTCTGTAAGTCCAGATATATTGTAAAATTACAGTAAATACATATAAATATGTTAATAAAATTTATTTTCGTTTTACTCGTTTGTATCTCGATAACTCTCCATCATAACTTTTTGGTAATGCACCAAAAAGATCCAATTCTGACATGTCACTTAACTGTTGTGGTCTATTAGATAACACCTGATCTTCGCTAATTCTTCTTCTAAACCTAGACTTCCACTGATTTGAACTAAATGGAGCATATCGTTGTCGCACAACGTTATTTTTGAAAAAGTTATCTCGAAAATTTTGTCTTTTTAACCTAGCATTATTATTATTATCATAGAAAAAGTTATGATACCCATAATTGTCATAAGAATTTGGTTCATTTGAAGGAATCCCTGACCGTTTACGTTCGTCACGTAAATATTTATTCAATTTAGAATCATCAATATTTAAATTTGCATACTCTTGTTCTTTGTCATAAATTTGTCTTTTATAAACACCTCCATCGTCAAAATCGTCACCCCCTAACAATTCTCCACCCTCGTCATTTTCCTTCTGGTGCGACTTATAGTTGTCCTCTCGAGAACGACTATCAGGAGAACGATCAGATCGTCGTTTTTTTCTTCCAGTAACAAAGAAATTCGTTTCACGTTTCTTTCGAACATTCGTTGCATTTGTATGATGTTTACTTACACTAGCATTAAGGTGCCTTCTCTTTCTAATTAAAGGTTTCAGTTCACTGTCAGGATTCAAAGCAGGATTAAGTTCATCAGTCTCTTCGTTAATCAAATTATCTGTCGCTTGCCTTTTCTTCCTTTGAATATCGTCGTCGTCATCGTCATCATTTTGGTTCTTTTTCAAAGCTTCGATTTCTCTTTTGACCTCCTCCTTAAGCGAATTGATTTTACTCTGAATTTGCTTTTCAACTCTGTTGTCGTAATCTTCATTATCTTCATCATACCCTCTTTTCTCCAGTTGCTGCTTTTCCGTGTCTCTCACTGTAATCTCTGAACTAGAAGCTAAAGGTGACTTGTTTCCGCTAATCATCAAGTCTCCCGAATCTTTCAAGTTTTCGACGAGCTCCGAATTTTCTTTGTTCATTGTTGTCGCTATCTCTTGCTTTTGCCTCTTCATACGATGCGCTTCTTTTACAGTTTCGCGTTTATTGAGTGGATTTCCAAAGGGATCGTTCTTGATTTCGTTTCTTTTTTCATCAGAATTTAGAAATGTATGTTCTGACAAAGGTTTACCATTTGCGTCTGCGTTTTCGTTACGAATGCAGGTTTCGTCTCGTTTATTTCTTTCTTTTTCAAATTTTGTTTCTTCCTCGAGCGACGCAGGTTCGTTTTCGTCGTCCATTTGATCGTCGACCACCTCGCGTTTTTCTCCATGAACTTCTTCGTCTTCAATCAAACCCATATCGTCTAAGATATTCTTAAGTTCTTCTTCAATTTGTTCATTGTTGTGCGGGTTGGATGATCTTAATCGACGAATCGTTGCTTTCAGATCACGAACATTGTCATCAGTGAAAGCATCGTAATTTCCTATAAATATTGGCATTCGATCAAATTATTATCTTATTAGATTAGATTATTACATACTTTTTTTGTCCAATTTGTTGTCTATTTTAAAGTTGGTAAGAATAGATGGGTAAGTTTCGTCGAGTTGAGCCGGATCTAAATTGATTCCGTTTATTTCGCGTTTGTCTACGTCCGTCACAACAGGTAAATCTTGAATTTGGCTAGCACTAAAAGTGTATAAGTCATTTTCTTCTTTTACGGGTATAAATCTATACGATCTCTGATAAGGCTGTAAAGAATTGCGTATGAAACGGTAAAATAAAAACTTAGAGATAAAATTACTTGTAATATTCCAATTGGTTTATCGTCACGATACACTACACCAACTTGTCGTTTTTGTAAAGAACTTGATGCCAAATTATCTGTTATTTCGTCTATTGTAGATCTTTTTTTGTCATAGCCATATACTCTGTTAGGAAATTTGTCCGAGCCTTCAAATCTAACACGAGGTTTGTAGTAGTCAGAAAACGAATTTTGGTTGGGTTTCTCGTACTCTATGCCTTCACTGGAATCCGCGCAATTTACTCTACAATCCAAGAACTTACCACTAATATATAGTTCTTTGGACTTACTTATTGTCATCACTGAAACTTTTTTCGTCTTCAAAAGGCTTTGCTAGTGTTAAACTGCCGATCGAACATAAAATAATTGCTCCATAAGTGACATACAAGGTTTCCATATTACACTAAACACAAAAATAAATCATACTTATGTCACATTGATGTAAAAACTATTAAAATGTCAATTATCTGCCAAAATATTATTTTCATTTTGGCAATTTTTTGTCGCTATGGATATAATACATCCATCGTGGATCTCTGTTCTTCTTCAGATACTCAGCCCCGTAGCTAGAAAACTTATTCAGGGGGGGGCAAGTTTGTCGACAGAGGGGGCTTCATGTAAATATTTATATTTTAATAATACACTCAGATAACTACTTTATTTTTTCTGAGTTTTTATATTTGAAAGAACATTAAAATAATTGGAAACGTCGATTTTTTACTCTAAATTTTCGTAAAAACCTGTCGAAGTCCAAAAAATTAGTACGGTACTTGGTTAAAATGCTGGTTAAAACAGAGAATGTAGATTCACAAACAGCTGTACTGCATCCAAAAATTTGTGTAGTGACCATATAGGTAACATCCAATTTGTTTGAGTTTATTTTTTTGCATGTTTAGTACATATTTTAAAAGTCCGACTTCGAAACCAAATATTTCGAAAATTTTGGTACGGAACCATGAACTCGTTATGTTTTTTTAAACTCGTCGAGATGTGTATTTCAGAATTTTTTGTCAACTTTAACAAAAGCTCAATTTTTGGAAACCCATATAAAATTTTTGACTTTTCCCAAGCATTTTCGAATATTACCAAAAGAATTCCTTTGTTCATCTCGATTTCCAAAAATCGTTTTGGATTCAATTTTTTTGAAAATTCTTACATTTTTTCCAGAATCGACGGAAGAAATATGGCAATTTTTGAGAACCTGTATAAAATTTTTGACTTTTTTAAATCACGTTCGAGATTACCAAAAGGGATTCCTTTATTGATTTCGATCTCCAGATATTGTTTTTGGTTGTTTTTTCGAAAATGCGTGCAATTTTTCCATAATCGCCAAAAGAAATATGGTAATTTTTGAGAAATTTTGAAAATTCCAGCTCGAAACCGAGTATTTCGAAAATTTTGATCCGGAACCTTGAACCTGTCATGTTTTTTTAAGCTCGTCGAAATCTATATTTCAGAATTTTTTGTCAACTTTTACGAAAGTTCAATTTTTGAAAACCCATATAAAATTTTTGACTTTTCCCAAGCATTTTCAAAAATTATCAAAAGAGATTCCTTTGTTCATCTCGATTTCCAAAAATTGTTTTGGATTCAATTTTTTTGAAAATTCTTACAATTTTTCCAGAATCGACGGAAGAAATATGGCAATTTTTGAGAACCTGTATCAAATTTTTGACTTTTTTAAATCACGTTCGAGATTACCAAAAGGGATTCCTTTATTGATTTCGATCTCCAGATGTTGGTTTTGGTTGTTTTTTCAAAAATGCGTGCAATTTTTCCACAATCGCCAAAAGAAATATGGTAATTTTTGAGAAATTTTGAAAATTCGAGCTCGAAACCGAGTATTTCGAAAATTTTGATCCGGAACCTTGAACCTGTCATGTTTTTTTAGGCTCGTCGAAATCTATATTTCAGAATTTTTTGTCAACTTTTACGAAAGTTCAATTTTTGAAAACCCATATAAAATTTTTGACTTTTCCCAGGCATTTTCAAAAATTACCGAAAGGGATTCCTTTATTGATTTCGATCTCCAGATGTTGTTTTTGGTTTTATTTGGTTGAAAAGTCGGAAAATTTTTCAGCAATCGCCAAACGAAATGTAATTTTTGAACTTTGAAACCGAATGTTTCGAAAATCTTGATCTGGGACCATCTAGACCTTGTGTTTTTTGATTGAGCTCGTCGAGATCAACATTTCAGATTTTTTTGTGGATTTTTAGTCAACTTCAACAAAAGCTAAATTTTTGAAAATCCATAAAATGTTTTTTACTTTTCCCAAGCGTTTTCGAAAATTAGCAAAAGGGAGCTCTTTATCGATTTCGATCTCCAGATGTTGTTTTTGGTTTTATTTTCTCGAAATTTGTACACTTTTTCCAGAGCCGCCAAAAGAAATGTAATTTTTGAGAAATTTTGAAATGTCGACTTTGAAACCGAATTTTTTGAAAACCCTGGTCTGGGACCATCAACACCTTATGTTTTTGGATTAAGCTCATCGAGATCTACATCTCGGAATTTTTTGTTGATTTTTTGTTAATTTCAACAAAAGCTCAATTTTTGAAAATCCATATACATTTTTTGACTTTTCCCAAGCATCTTCGAAAATTAGCAAAAGGGATCTCTTTATTGATTTTGATCTCCAGATGTTATTTTTGGTTATATTTTTTTGATATTTCGTCGAATTTTTCCACAGCCGCATAAAGAAATAGCTTTTTTTAAAGCAACTTTTGAGATTTTTTAGAAATTTTAGGTAGAAACCCAATATTTCGTAAATTTTGTTCCGGGAGCATGAACATGTTTTTCGATTAAGCTCATCGAGATCTATATTTCAGAATTTTTTGTCAACTCTAACAAAAGCTCAATTTTTGAAAACTAAATAAATTTTGACTTTTCTTGAGCATTTCCAAAAATTACCAAAAGTCATTCAATTATTTATTTCAATCTTCAGATGTTGTTTTTGGTTTTATTTGATCGAAAATTTGTAAAATTTTTCTAGAATCGTCAAAAGAAATAGGAGTATAATTTTTGAGAAATTTTAAAAAGTCGACTTGGAAACCGAACATTTCGGAAAATCTTCGTCTGGGACCAGCAAGACCTTTTTTTTGACTAAACTCGTCGAGATCTGCATCTCAGAATTTTTTGTAGATTTTTGGCCAATTTCAACAAAAGCTCAATTTTTGAAAATCTATAAAAAAATTTTGACTTTTCCCACGCATTTTCGAAAACTAGCAGAAGGAATCTTTTTATTGATTTCGATCTCCAAATGTTTTTTTTTTGGTTTTATTTTTTCGAAAATTGGTACAATTTTTCCAGAGCCGCCAAAAGAAATGTAATTTTTGAGAAATTTTGAAATGTCGACTTTGAAACCGAATTTTTGAAAAATCTTGGTCTGGGACCATCAAGACCTTATGTTTTTTGATTAAGCTCATCGAGATTTACATCTCAGAATTTTTTGTCGATTTTTTGTCCATTTCAATAAAAGCTCAATTTTTAGAAAATCCATATATTTTTGACTTTTCTCAAGTACATAGTAGGCTATGGAATAAAATGTGATATGTTCATTTTTTTATACGGTCAACATCAACGGTAGGGTGATATTGCCAAATAATATACCCTGTAAGAAAATAAAGGGGGGGTGGGTGGGGCCAGTTAATATGCTTCGGCAATCGGCATTATATTGAAATTTTATTACTAATTTGAAATTTATAATGTATAAGTCTTCCAGGGGGGGCGCAGCCCCCTCTTGCCCCCCCGTAGCTACGGGGCTGCAGATACTGCTTCTTTCCAATCTTGGCGAGCGATGTGTTGAGGTCTTTCTTGAATAAATCGTGGAAAGTGGACCAATCTTCGTATTTTCCGTTAAAAATTGGAAGTTTAATTTGGTCTTGGCTGTAATCGTCTAACAAAAAGGAACCTACGTTGTGTGTGTGTTTTTTTTTTTTGACAAGAGGCGGGAAGACGTTCTTTCATACAAGTGAGCATACACTGCGTGTGAGCGAGACCGCAAGAAATAATAGACAAAATTTTTAGCACCCCTCTCAGGAGGAAAGAAGCTGCGAGCATTCACTCCTCAGCTCCAAAAACCCCCTAGCAAATATTTAAATATCACAAATTTAATAAAAACAAAGCAAAATCTGAATTAAAGTAACTGGGTGCAAATACACAAGTTATTACGGGCGTGTGGCGTCAAATTTAAAGTTACAGCAGGTAACAGGAGCACAACAAAAGTACCCTGGGGCACAAGCGGAGTTTGGGGCTACCGGTCGGGGCTGTTCTCCCCCCACGACGGTGATTCTATCTGTCGCACGCCTACCCCCACAGCACATTACACATCTTCAGGACGAACATGCCGTCCGAAGCTAGGCGCTTACGGTCGCAGACCCACAGTTGGATCTCGGCTAAGGACAGAAGCCGAGAGCGTTACATTGTGTCATTTAATTTTAATTATGACTCTGATATTAACAACTGAGGAAAAAACGTCTCGGTGAAGTAATTTTTATCGTTGCGAGGAAGTGCCTCGATGATGTGAATTTTTAACGTTGCGAGGAAAAAGCGCCTTGGTGATGTAGTCAATGTTTAGCGTGGCGAGGACATGCCTCGATAAAGTAATCAATCTTTGGCGTTGTGAGGACAAGCCTCGATGATGTAGTCAATCTTTAGCGTTGTGAGGAGATGCCTTAGTGATGTGATCATAATAACGATGGTAACCGCATAAGGGAAAAAATTATTTTAACCCCCCGCCAGTTTGCAGTATAATGAATTTTGTTAAGTTAACTTGATTGGTGAATTTACAAACAATAAAACAAATTTACAGCACCTGTTCCGCGTTGAACTAAAGTCCGCACTTTTTTCCAATTAAAAGGCCGCAAGAATTAGCTACACGTGTCGTCATCGTTACAATTAATTTAGTTAAACAAAGGCTCCCTCCCTTTTATCAACTACCAAACCAACAAATTTAAACTAACTCTTACCACGTGGTTACATTCACAAAAACACATTGAGACTGACGCTTCGTCATGTCGCCGTCTGTCTACTAACCAACCCTCTAACTAACCCCTAGCGCTACTAATTATCCAACTATCCAGCAAGCGTTACCATGCACCTGGTTGCCTATGTTTAACAATTTTCGATTTGAATTTTTTTTTCTCAAATTCAAATTATTCAAATGTGATTTTGCGCCGTTATTAATTCATTTCAGCCCGAAAATTTTGATTTAAATTCGGTCACCACAATTTATTTATTTATTTTTATTGATTTATTTGTATTACGTAGATTAAGTTAATTTGTACCCCTACTGACTTTCAGGGGCATCAAGTACACAGGGAAAATTCTAAGGATAACCTGTGAAGACGAGGTGTCTCTGGAATGGCTAAAACAAACAGTGCGCTCTCTAATACCCTTGGCTGAGCTACCAGGGCTGGTGAGGGCGACTCTGTGGA